ACGATTAAGACGCTAGATTTGGGCGCCACACAACTGACCATAGACGAAATAGACGAGCTCACTCGTCTCCTCCCCAATCTGGTGCACCTGAAGTATACCATCAAAAGTATCCTTGACAGCGATGTCGCTGTATCGGTGCATTCAAACCAGCGCACAGGCGGAAAATTGTACCAGCTAACTTTAATGACAAACGCGGCCCCCAAAACTGCAGACCACCTTGGCGCTTATGTTGCTTCGGTCTGTGCGCATTTTAAATCTGTAATTCGCTTCAATGTGCTCTCAGACGTTGAGTGCAAAATGGAGCTGGTTACAGCGTACAAGACCATTATTAACACCGAACTGAAGTACCAGAGCAAGGAAAATATGCACTTACACCACTCAACTTTGGTTCGATTCAAAAAAAATGTCGTCGACCCAAACTATCTGTATTATAATTAATACATAATAAACAAGCCCACACATAGTTGTGGCTAGAACCGTTGCATATTATTTTATTTTATCTTTCTGTTTATGCATAAACCAATTTGAAACCAATCGCTTGCCTAAAATTATCATTGGAAACAAAAACATTCACTTTCTTATAATATTTATATAAAATGGTTACTAGATGCTTGCAAAGAAAGAGTAAAATTTCTAAATGGAAATGTATCAAATATTAAAACATTTATTTATAAACTTGTTAAAATTTTAATAAATGTTTTGAATCTAATAGAACTTTTGTATGTTTTAAACAGAAAGCCTTCATGAGCGTATAGCTGCTCTTATGCGCTTAGGCAATGAATGTGCTAAATTTGTATAGTAGTAGCTGGAATATTTGTCCAATAAATTTGTGCTCGCTCGAATAGTTTGCCAATGTTTTTCGGATGATTGTCATAGCTGAAAAAATGGGTTTTCAGCAGAGCCTAAAGGTTTTTGATAGGGTTGAGATTGAGAAATTGTGATAACCATGGTAAGACGTTGATATTGTGATTATATAGCCAGCTTTAAGTCCCACGGGCTGTGTGTTTAGGGTTATTGTCCTGTTGAAAGATAACTGATACCATTTGTGGAATTAATACTCTCCAAAGCGGGCAACAAATATTTGTCCAGTATTTGAGCGTACATGGCACCATTCATATTGCTATCAATACAAACCAAAAAAACTGTCATTAGCGTGGAAAGCACCCCACACCATCAGATCTACTACCATATTTCATAGTGAGCTGGATATATTTGGCCTCCATATCGTTGTTGGATTCCTTGATAACAAAACTCCTGTGGCTAGTGTCAAAGCATTTAAAGCTTGTATTTGTCTGTCCAAAGAACCCGTTCCCAATTGGATTCGGTCCACTCCTTATGTGCTTTTGCCCATCTGTACTGCAACTTTTGGTTGTTTTTGGTGACAAATGGGTTTTGCCTCAAAACACGAGAGTGATACCGAATGCGAGCAAGATATCTCTGGGCAGCTTGCCTATTTAGCTGCAATTCTCTTTTTGACGTCTTTTTGGTAAGCGTAGCTAGATGGCCAAATTACAGTTGCAACCATTGGTACCCCCATTATTGATAGAACAGTACAGGCTACAACTGGCGTGGCTCCTCACATGTATAATGCGGCCCACCCAGCGGGAGAAACAGTGCCTGAAATCAGACGGGGCTTTTGGAACAGAGATATTGCGACAAGCTTAAACATGCGCATCATCAACTGCCTCAGCAACGGATTTGGTACTCCTGCTCGGTTCACTCGATCAGTAACAAAAGACAATTGGGACAAATATGCGCAAAATTTAGCCTATGCCTATTGTCTGTCATCAAAAGAGAAATATCCCAAGCAACGAAAAATTGAACCCATTCTCGATTGGCAGTCTGAGTAATCAGCGAGCGGGTGATGATGATGCTTTGTATTTCTTATATTTTTGTTTTATCTTTTATATTTATTTAGGCATGGTTGCATGGTCGCATGTCTCTTTGACAATAAATATTTTGCTCATTGTATTGGAAAGAAAAAAGATGCAAAGCCCCTTATTATAATGAATTAGCGTGGTTTTTTGTTGAGCTCTATTTATATAAAGCAAAGAGTAATAATAAAAAAATCACGCGTGCGCTATTTTTTTGATTATCTGTATGGCAAGCGATAATATCAGTAAAAATAATTTTGTATCAAGTGCGCGTTTTTTAAGCTTGCTTTTATTCTCTATATTTATTTTTTTATTTATTATCTACTTGTATTATACTTTTTATACTTTATTATTCCTGCCATATATGATGTTAGCAAAGTACTCTTTCACGCCCGCCCTATCTAGCATGGTCGACAAAATGGGTATTCCGCACAAGGTAAGTAAGGTTTGCAAGCACGCAGAGGTCAAGAATTCATAAATGACCATTACAATGGTATTGCCACATCGTCACTATATGCACTTGTCACCAATACTGCACCGCGCATTATATTTTCCTATATGTTTTCTGCTTCCACATCTGCTTTATTGTTGCTTGGCCATTTAAAAAAATAAAACTTTATTACTCTTTTACTCTTTCCTCTTGTAGTACAAGGAATATCAGTTTGACGGCATGGCACGGCTCGTAAACATGGAAATGTTTGACATGCAGACAAAAAACGCAGCAATCTTTGAAATAAATGCCAAACTCAAATCAATCGACCTTTCGCATATTCTAAACACTGGACAGGTACATAGACTGCGCGATGATTTGCCCGAGTCTCAATGTCGCTTTGGTGTATTTATTTTTACATACGCCCCGTGTATATTGCAGAAATCCGCCATTATTGCCTGGGCCTGGCTTCCAAAAGTTGCCAAGCCACATGATCGCGAAATCTATACAACTCTACTGCCGGAGTTTACTCGACAATTGCGCTCTTATGATTGCGTTTTTGAAATTAGCGATTGGAGCGAGCTGAGCAGGAAGGCGATATTTTCCAAGATTCAATCAGAAAAACTAAGCAATACTACCTTAATGAAAAAACTTGTCACAAGGAAAAGGAGAAACCCTTGGTTTTCTAAATAACCTTAATACTTTGTCTGGGTCGGGATTTTCTGAAAAATCAGCTGAAACAGAAAATTAGTCAGAAGCAGGTGTCACTTGTCATTTAAAGTTCAAATTCCGCAATCTATGGAATTGTAAGCTTTACAACAGGACACACCAACAAAGAGCTGTTCAGCTGGCTAAAAAAAGATAAACAAGCCAGAAATTTGGCCGACGATCTAGACACCAATCCATTTAACATATATATTAGTGACTACTCTGCTCGCCATGACACACTCACTAATACCAGCAAAGACAGATACCACCAGCAATGAAACGCGTGGCCAATGATACTTTGTTGGAAGGTGAGGAATAGTAGCCAAAACCACATGCCCATTTTGGCACGTTCGTGTCATACATTTTTGGGCAATTTTCAAGTTGGCAGAATGATATATACTCCCTTTGGGTCTTATTGGTATTTAATTTTTCCCTCAATAAAACAAATATGAATACAACAAATAAAATTTTCATAGTAACGAGTAAAAATAAAACGAACCTCCTCATTCCCGATGATCAGCACTCCATCTTCAGCAAAGGGGCCAGTAAAAAAGTATCTGGCTGGAATGGGTGCAGTGGACACAGGTAGATCCCTAATTTTACTGTATTAGAGCGCCGATATATGAAGTGCAGAATTGGGAAAGATTGGAAATCGACCGACTTTGGCCGAAATATCCATTACTCTTCCGAATCATATTGTGCTGGTCAAATAAAATATTTGTTACCAACACCAAGGCGCAGCGCCGTGTGGGCAGCACTGTAAAGGCCTTGTTGGCATTTGATATGAGCCAGCAATGTCAGGCATGGGTATTACGGCAATAGTGATGATCTTGTCTGTGCTGATCCTTAAAGATGGGAAGAGGAGAATCCGGTATGTGGGTTGGGCACCACAATATGCAGGCGCAAGGTGAGTATTGATGAATGCCTTATCTATATGGATTGGAATGGCGTTCTTTTGTCTTTCACCAAAAATATCTGAAATGTCAGGATCCCGCTTTTGACGCTCTGTTGGGAATCCAGGTGACCTTGGGAAGAAACTCCCTCACTCAGCAGCCGCAGGGACTTACTTTTTTCAAATCCGAATTTATGTTCTAGGATGTATCTGCGTAATTAAAGACCCTGGAAACCCCTACTCAGTGGGACTCATCAATGCACACATACGCAGATCATGGTTGTCTACATTTTTATAACAGCTAATTATGCTTTCCCCGAGCAGCAACCAATTGTGTTTATGCCAATAAAATACACTATCAAGTAACTCCATTTTGTACATATTTGCATGATGCATCAATAAACGCAAAATACTGCGGGCCGCTTGTTCCATGCGTGTCTTGTGTAGCCCAAAATACAAAGAAATGCAATTTTGCATTGTAAAGTTGTTTTCACGGAACCTTCTTTTTGGCCTAATTATTATTTATTATTTTTACCCCGTTTTTTCTAAAATAATACATTTTGGATTTACTCTTTGCATGCGGACAATATTATATTTTTATTTTTTATTTGTATACAAGTATTCTTGTTTGCACTCGGGTGCAGCAGACATATGCAAAACTGGCCATCTCTGACCTCCCCTTACAACTACCCCCACCTCTCCCCTTTTAACACCCCCTCCTCATCATATGAGGCACCGCTGACGGACAATGGTACAAGCATATTGATCGTTTTCAAGCATGTGGCGCTGCGTATATTATTATTTTACAAGCACAGACAGATGAATCCCTTGTTTTTTGTTTTATTCTCTGAGCAACAGCTGCCAAAGTTTTTATTGGGTTGATATTTACGGTTTTTTTTGTAAAACGTTTATAAATACTGTGCATCCGGGAATACTTCGTTTTTTAGAAAAAACACCAACTTACAAAGTTCCTCTTCTCTTTTCTGCGCTTCATTTTTTACAAATACTTTTAAAACATCTCTCTAGCCAAAACTGTTAAAGCTTAATATATTGAGTTTCTTAATTTGTTATTATCCACACCTACGTACACCCCACTTACACACATATATCACAATTCATTCAACAATGTTCCAGTTCCAGCCGATGAGCCTCGAGCCGCACATGGTAGGCACCCATCATAGCTACTTTATAAAATGCAATAGCGCCTATTTTTGGGATGCAGACATTTACAAATCCACGCATCCATAACACTAATCCACAACCAATCGACAAATCACTTTGCTTTACTGTTATTCTTCTATAGCCTCCCATGCCTACATTTGGCAGACGTCCTAGTGTGACAAACACCCAGCTCTACAACACTTCATCATACAAGTACGCAATCTTTGATCTGGACAAAACTAGCAAGGAGGTCTACTCGCCAGCCAACACAAACAACGACGACTTTGCCTCATTGAGATCATTCCTCCCTGTATACAACTGCTGCTACGCCGTCTACAAACTGACCTTTGTCAAAAATATGCGGTCAACGAGCGTTGTTATTTTTTACACCTGGCTGCCTGCTGAGGCTGCGGAGGCCGAGAAGCAGCGGTATTTGGCAAACTCTAACGAGGTTGCTCAGCAGCTGAGCCACTATGACTTTAAGTTCGAGTGCACAGAGTGGCGGGAATTCCAGCATTTCATTGCTGTTTCAAAGGTCAACCGGTATATGAAAACCATTTACAAGTGAGCAGTTCGAGGGGAGGGGGAGCCAGTCTATTTTTACTATTATGTCAACAACTGTTTTATTTACTATTTTCTTTAGGGCTACTCCTTTGTGGTGATCTGCTTGTTTGGTGTGCATTCCTGGCCGTTTGTGTGTGTATGCATCTTTCTATTAGTATTTTGAAACTTTGCACACTCACGTCCATTCACATGGGTTGCACACTTCAGGTTTTTTATTTCGTAAGGTTTTTCATGTACACGAAACGCACACATTTTTATATAGCTTATTTTATTAGTCCTTTATGTTTTAAGAAGCCAATTTACGATCAACATCGATGATTTTCCAAAGGTGAAAATATGCCTGGCTTGCTCAACACTTTTTTGTATTGCATGTTGGATGATAATAGCAGAAATTCAGGTATTTATACCAAAATCGTACAACGTGAGAGCAAGCATATCTGATGACATTTTCAATTTCTTTCTACTTCAAAAATAGATGGTTTAAGTATTCTTAACATTGTTGAATGCTTCGACGAATTTTTTCGGTTAGAATACGCGTGCGTGTTGCGATTTGCTCAGTGTTGATTGCTGCAAAAACCTGATCGATGCTTGGATATTTGTGTAGAGGAGGCGGAGGGGCAGAGATGGGCGAGAGAACGCACATCGCAAAATGCCACACTGTAAAAAAATTGTAAAAAGTGAAAGGGTTTTTTAGTAGATCAGCCTAATAAAAAGTGATAAAATTGTTGAAGTGCTCCCAAAAAAATTCAACCATGCAATTGTCCGATTTGCAGCAGATAGGGCGGTCTGGTATTATTTTCATCAACAGTGAAATGCAACTTTTGCGGACTGCATCCATTTTTCTCTTTTCTCTTTTCTTGTTTTTTGAGAGGCAGATATGGTGCGATTTGTCTACGATCATGTGTGATGTATCGGACAGGATACATATGGCATTGTTGTTATTGTTGTTCATTGTCTATTTTTGGTGCGCAGGCTGCAAACGGTGTTCACTGCATGGTAATTTATTTCCAAGCACTGGTTTCCGTGAAAAAGGACAATGACAGAAATTGCTGTGCATGCTAAATTAAATCAAGTGCGGGTCAATTTCTTAACATGGTTTCTGTCTATTTTGCTCACGCTTGCAAGGTCGTAGTGCTGGTGTGTGTGTTCAGCCTATTGCATTTTATAAAATTTGATGGTCATGTATTTTTTCCACGAATACAGATTGAGTAAATCGATTTCAATCGCAAGCCAAGTCAAGTCAAGCCAAGCCAGGTCAGGTCAGGTCAGGTCAGGCCAGGTCGATTCCACACACAGTTGCTGAGCGACGCGCTGAGTTTTCTCCGAAGAAAGGAGAACACATAAACAGAGCCCAAGCAATGAGGATTGTCACTTAAATTAGCACCAAATTACTAATCTTAACATAG